ACACATTTATTATCAGAATAGTCTCCATAACTTAAAACGTTCTTATTTGATTCATAATATATGTAACACCACTTTGAAACAACGAATTGAAATAAGAACAGGATAATAAGAAGCATAGATAATTTTCAGATTGATGATTTTTACTCGCGTTAATAATTCAATAATTTTACAATTACTTGAAAATTTTGTTGTTACCCCTAAAAATTTATCGTTAATAATAATGTTAAAAAATAATTCCTCATAAAAAACATTTTTTTATTTAATAATGTTATTTAAATATAAAAAATTCAAAAAACAAAAAAAAACAAAAATCTAAGAAATTTTATATTTTTATTGAGAAATGAATATAATATTATTAATACTCATTCCTTTTGTTCTTAGTAATGACCTTTTTAATTCAGAAGATCTTGAACTATTAGATGATGAATTTTTAGATTTATTTGATGATGACCTTGATACTGAATATGAATTAGAAGACTCATTGGAATTTAAGTATAATGACTTTGTAGGATATGGAGGATATTTTGGTTATTTCCATCCACTTCAATATCATGGTTATTATCCAGGATATCCACTTTTGTATCGTCGACTTGGACAATACTAATTATTTTTTGTTATTCAAGTTATTTGTGTTTTTCTTTTATAAAATTTTATTATCTAATTTTAGAAAAAATAATTCTAAATAAAAATCAAGATCCAATAATAAGTTCTTCTTAAATATGGAAATGGGGAAAAAGAAAAAAGAGATAAGAGGAGAGATTAAAAAAAAGGAATAATAGGGAGAAATTAAAGAGAAATCCCAAAAGATTAGAAGAGAACTAACAAGGGGGATAAAGAATGATAAAGAATAATAAAAAATAATAATAAGAATAGTAAAAGAACAAAAAATTCAAGGAACAAAAAAATCATATTTTAATGAAATTCATTGGTATTGTGTTTTTGGTTTTTATTGCTAGTGCTTTAGCTCAATCAACTGGATTTTGGACACCAACATTATATAAAATTAGAGAAAGATTAAGTGAAGTTGCTATTCGTATTGATGAAGTAGAAGATGATGAAAGACATTATGAAAATTTGATTGATAAGAGTATTGTTGATTTAAAGAGTGCTATTACTAAGAGAGAAAAATACACAATTGGAAGAAAACTTACTCATCTCAGAGCTAAGTTAGTTGTTTTCAACCAAAAGAAGTTATTACTTCTCAGAGCACTTAAGAGAATTGTTTCTGCTGTTCCAAGAAAATTCAGAGCTAAGATGATTAGATCATTAAAGATTGAAAAGAGATTTGTTGCTATTAGAGATATCGAAAGAGATGCTAAACGTATTTTAAGCCCAAAGAAGACTATAACCCATAAAAGTAGTACTAAAAAGACTTTAAAGAGACTTGGTCATGGAATTGCTAAAAATGTTAAAACCGTCAAGACTACTAAGATTTCCAAAATCAAGAAGAATTAAACAATCAAATTGATAAAATTTACATTCTTCTGTTCAATGTGACTTTTTTTTGTTTTGATTATTCTTTTAAAAAATGGTTAGTTACTAAAAAACATCTTTCTACATTATATTAAGGTTTTTTATATATTATAAGAAATTCTATCTATTTAATGAGGAAAACACCTCTACTGTACAGAAAAATAATTTTTATTTTTCTGTAATTAAGACATTCTTCCGAATTTTCTTTAAAAGAAGGAATTTTATAAAGTACTTGCAAAATGAAAGAAAAAGTGATTACACTGGTTTCCTATTAATTGTCTCTTAATCTTATTTCTATCTTCTTGTTTTTTCTTGCTTTAAACAAAAAGGCAAATGAAAACTATAAAAATAAAAAAAAATAACTTTTTAAAAATCCTAAATTAGTAATTATTAATAGAGAAGTTTTTACTATTTTTTATGTAAGAATGGTTATAAAAAAAGAATCTTTATTAAATTAAGAAAAACAAAAAAAAATCTTTAATTTGATAAGATGATAACATAATGTATTGAAAAGAAAAGTATATAACTTAAGCTAGTATTTAGAAATTCTTTATAAAATTATCAGTAAACACAGTACATGAGAAATGAGTTAAAGCAACCTTAAGTAAAATAAAGAATATAAAAAATGAAAATTAGTTATTGCTTGATATCAATGAAATTTATTAATATTAACAACAATTATGAGTACCTTCAACTACAGGAATAGACTCATCAGTAGACCAAGGGAATTGAGAAATATCAATTTTGTCAAGGATATTATTAAAGGCTTTATCAACAGCTAAAAAAAATAAGTTTTTTTTGTAGTCTAATTAATATTTAATGATTCTAACAACAAACTGTCTCCTTCAACTGATGTAACTTCAGCAAATAAACAACCAAATTTCGTTGCAAGATTTTCACCTTCAATAGTTTTAACTACTCTTTGAGCTAATAAATCACTTTTTGTTCCAACAATTTCAATCACTAAAAAATAAATACGTATTATGTAACCCCAATATTTATTACTAACAAACGAATATTTTCACAACCTTGTTCTGATTTTATTTGGTTATACCAACTTTCAACCCCTTCAAATGATTGTCTGTTAGTAATATCATAAACAATCATACATGATGAAACCCCTCTATAATACATTGAAACCATAGACCTAAACCTTTCTGACCCTGCAGTGTCCTATTAATTTCAATAAGATATATTAGAATTAATATATAAATATAACAAACCCAAATATTTAAGTTAATATTTTTACCTTTAATTTTACAAGTTTTTGTAAGAAAATTTACACCTAAAGTAGATTTACAAGATGGATCAAATATACCTTCAACATATCTTAAAACAATACTAGTTTTTCCAACACCTAATTCTCCAAGCATACAGTGTTTAAATTTTCTAACGCTCATTCTAATTAATTATTTATTTTGCAGTTTTACAATGAGAAAGTTTATTTGAAAGAAAAATAAAAGAAAGTTTAAAATTTTTAAGTAATGTTCAATAGTAAAAAATATAAAAGAACCAACTCATTTAATTTTTTTTAAAATTAATTTAATTAATTAGTAATAAGTTCAAACGCCATTTCTTTCTCATTTTTGGCTAATACTTTTTGGTAAGTATTATATTCACATTGCTTGATTATCATAATAAATACACCATATACAAAAAATAAAAATCCAAATACTAATATAATAATCACCACTGGAACCCAACTAAATCCACACTTCCCAAACGTTTTTCTATTTGCTATTGTACAATTACTTGAAGCAGGATATGAACAATATGACTTAAATGATTGTTCACACCATACACATCCTCGTGCAACTGGTCTAAATTCATCTCCTTGAACTTCAGTACAAGATGTGCATAATGTATATATTTCACATTTAGGAAGTTCTTCTCCATTACTCAAACAAAAAAAAAGAAGAAGAATATGAATTAAATGGTTCTTCATTAATTAATCATTTATAAGTTCTATTAAAAACAAATTTTACTTGTCATTTCTGTTCTTTAAAAGCAAGTTTAATTCTTCTTTATCTCTTAGTTATATTACCTTATTAATTTATCAATAAAAAAATTTAAAATTTAAGTAATAGTCAATCAAATGTTAATTAAAAGAATTGCATTTTTAAACAAGAAGATTTCATTGATTTGCTTGGTTTTGATTTACAGGTAAGTTTAAATCGTTATCCCATGGTTTTCTTCCAAGCTTTGGTCCATTATCAATTCTTCCTTTTGCATCTTCAACAGTCCATGGCTTTTCTTTTTGTACCCTTTTAACTTTTGACTTATGTGGTCCTTGTGTGCAATGTTTTAAATAAACTGCTTGTGAAATAAAATGTTTATCACATACACCACAATAGAATTGTCCAAATCCAGGTTTATCTTCATCAATAGGCAATGCCTTAGCCATCTCTCCATTGACGTTCATTTCACCATTTTTAATAGCAGAAACAATTTGGTCAAAGTCTTTGGTTTTATGTTTCATACTAAGTCTCTTATGAATTCCACCAGTCTCTCCTCCTTTTCTTTTTGACTTATGAACCTTCTTTCTTCTTTGTGGCATTTGTTTATGAAATAAGATGAAAAACAATAGGGTTTTTTTAACTGTCTTATCATTCACTTCTTTTTAATAAAAAGAATAATATTATTTTATTATACTTTTAGAGATTAAAAATAATCAAAATTGATTTAATGATATAAGAAGTAAATATAAGTCAGATATAAATTGATTGTTTTTTTTCTTCTACCATCCTTGAGCATGGATTTCGTCATTGTCATCTTCTTCTATAAATTCATCACATAAACATTCGTCTGTATAATCAAATGAATTTCCATTAATTGAAGATAATTTTTTACTCCCAAGAAATATTTGAGATAGATTTTCTTTTTCAATACAAGTTGTTGGTATTTTTATTGAAGTAAGCTTTGTACAATTAGAGAAACAACTTTCTCCAATGTGAATAACACTATCAGGAACATATATTTCTTTTAATGAAATACAACTATGAAAACAACGTGTTCCAATAGAAGTAATTGATGTTGGAATTTTAATTTCAATTAAATCTGTACAATAGGCAAAACAATAATCAGGTAAATTGGTAATAGATGAAGAGATAACTATGTTCTTTAAATTACCACATAAACAAAAAGCACTTTCTCCTAAAGAAGTGATTGTTGATGGAATAACAAAACTTGTTGTTTTAAATTCACATTCTTTATAATATGAATCACCAATAGAAGATATAGATGAAGGTATTTCATTACAAGAAAAGATTAAATCATCTCCATTAATCAATTCTATATCATTACAAGTAATACCATTCTCTTCTAATAATTGTGATACATGATAAGATACTTTAAAATTAATTTCGTTTTTTCCATGAAGTATTATTCTTTTTAATTTGTTACACCTCATTAAAGCACTGACGTCAAATAATTGTAAATTCTGAGGTAAAGAAATTGCAGTTAATGAAGAACATTCATTAAAAGCCATTTTACCAATTGATGAAACATTATTTGGAATTGAAATTTTATCAAGACTCCTACAAAGAGCAAAAGCAGATTCATCTATTGACTCAAGACATTCAGGTAATTCAACTTCTTTTAAAGAAAAACATCCACAAAATGCTCTTGTAGAAATTTTTTTAATAGATGAAAGAGTAATTTTTTGAAGTGATTCACAGTCATTAAATGAATTACTACCAAGATGTGTTACTGTAGGAGGAAGACTTATTGTTTTTAATCTTATACATGACTTAAATGCATTATCTTCAATAGAACGTAAGCACGATGGAAGAATAACTTCTGTTAACATAACACATCCCCAACATAACCCACTTGGTATTGTTAACATATGTGGAGAAAGAATGAGCTTATCTAAATTAACACATGAAAAGAATTCCATTTCTTCTAAATTTGTTAGTTCTTCAGGAACTTCAACAGCAAGTGGTTCAGTTGCTTTAAAAACATATTGGCGTAGTGTTAAATTTGTTAATGGTTTCTTTTCCATTTGATGATCACTCATTTTACTACTTTGATTACTTTTAAGATTTTAGGGCTCCTTTTATTGATTTATTTGATTTTAATTATCTTTTCCTTCAATCCCAAATTCCTTTCACAAATAATTCATGAAATTCATTATTTTTCGTTTTTTCTACTTTTTTTTTACTTTAAGAACTGAAAATCTTTTGCGAATTTCTTCACTTCATTTCACTTTTTGTAAATTATTAAATATTATTATATTTTTTTTAATTATTAATCAGAACATTACCTTTTCCTATTCTATAAACATTCAATTTTGTTCAAGTAATTTAAAACCCCCTTGATTTATGCAGTTACACTTTTAAAAACACAAATACATTATTTTTTGTTATTAATAACGAATTTTAAATAAAAATGATATTATCAAAAACGACAAATTATCTAAACAAAAAGACAAATAATAAAATAAGAAGAAAGCATAAAAAACAACTCTTAGAGAAATAAACCATAAATCACAACAAAATCCACTAGAGTTAGGCATAACCAAATTTCTTGAGGATAGCTACTTTAGCCTTATACTTTTCA